TTGATTTGGAATTTTCATCTCGTTCGGAGACTTTTGCGCGGTTGACAACTTGAACAGTTGGTGTAACTGTAAGCATCAGCTGATTAACATTGTTGAGTGTTAAACTTATGATTGCTTATCTCAACAAATTTGCTTCCTCATACTGCAGGGACCTAACAATCATGGTCGGCTCGTACATTTCAATAATGTTCCCTCATACAACTCTTTCTCGACTATTTAGTTACAGTTTGAAATGCAATACCTATTTTAAGGAACTTGTCAAGAAGCTGAAGAAGGGAGTTAGACCGAGTCCCGTCGCAAGTTCATCCATTTCGAAGTCCGAAAAGTGATGCCGCTGCGTACACTTAGGGGTACATTTAGTTTTAGGTCAATTTGAGCGTGACATCCTTAAAACTCATGCGGAACAATTTTCCATGCTTTTACATTCTTACCTCCTTCTCATATGTTGCGCTGATGGAGCAGACTTCAATGTAGAAGAAGTACAGTATCTCACAAATTGCTTTTCTTTTCAAGGACAGCGTTTGGAGAGCGTCCTGTCAATCAATTAGCATTTGATGTTTCTTGCATCGAAGCTGAGGACTCATCTAATGAAGATTTTGGATCTACTAATCTTAGTGGAGTATATCGAGCATTTGCACCCGTTTTGTGAGTTTTCTCCATCCCTATCAGCCGGGCCCCCGACCTCTCACCCTACCGTGCCCCAATGGTCCCACGCACCCCCACGCCGCGTGGGTCGGCCGGCTCACACCCCGCCGCCCCAAACCTGCGCTCCCGCCGCCCTTCCATCACCTTGACTATGCGACTTCCGGGTCATTATGAATTTAATACAACGTTCTTTTTTCATTATCAAGGGTTGTTTTTTCAAATGTTCTATATTTTCTTTAACGTGCGAATTTGTTTCGTTGATTTGACTGAACATGCGTAGGTGAACCTAAGCTACCTATTGTGTTGAACTTATCAGTTCCTTTTCCTTTGTCCATTTGATAACCTCCTCTCTGATTTCCAACAAACTAGAGTTTGTGTAATATTTTCAAGATGTTGCAAATATTGAACTGATTTACTCAATAAAACACTCCACAATTTGAACAGCCAAATACCTCCAATTTCAGAATTTTTCTATCTCTATTGAATATTATTTTCTCTTCAGGCCTTCTCCTTCAAATGCTAAATACCAGGCCAGAGCTGAGCGGTTCGTTGTCACACAGCAGGTTCAGGGACAGCTCTTTGTGGAGAGCTCGGCTCCTGGAGGTCCAGTGTATATAGAAATACTTTCTCCAATGCCCAAAGACAAATACGCTGTCGACAAAGCATCAAACGTAATAGATGGTAAGCGGCCAGTAGTTCCTTGGCTGTATCCTTGTCTCGAACTCAAACAATTTGTTTAAGCAAAATGTGAACGAATGGCTAAATTTGCCGCCCAGTGTCGTGAAGCTAATCCGGAAATATCTGAATGGTCGACTCCATTAGCTGGTTCATCGGTAGTCATACGGGTTTATATATTTACTTCTCTTCACAAATGCCCCCAAGTGATCATCTTTAAGCTGTTTCTGTAAGTGGAAAATCTGTTCCTAACAATTATCTATTTAGAGATTCGGGAATTTCGTACGATGGAGATTGTGCGGAGTATTTCCGAAGATATGCCTTTGAGCGACCATACCGCATCGCTCTTGCTGGATGACGAGAGGGGCACAGTGGTCAAACTTGATCTCAGTCGGGCCTACCATCGGAGAGTCCACGTCAGATCCTGGTACTACGGTTATATACTTTATACCACGACAAATGTTTTCTGTCTGTATAAAGTTTTGCATTTCTCATGTGGCATTATTTGGCTCATTCGAAAGTGGAGACCGTTTCATAGCATCTCGCCAGTTTTTCCTCAAACCACTACCGTTGTCTCCTCTGGATAGACCTTCAGTAGACGGTACTATTTTGAAGACTGATTTTCAGATCGATTTCTCTCATAGGTGGTGGCAGTTAATAAAGCGGAGAGTTGTTTCAACTTTTCTCAACAGCTCCGACCTTGGATTCCATTCTACGACTCTTTATGTTATTAGCTATTCACACTTACCAAGTGAAGATGTATTCTGCTATTCAGAAGTGGCGTAGATTTTTGAGTTTTTTAAGAGATCTCCGCGTTATGGTGTGCTAGTGGCCCCTTTACGACTTCGGAAAATTGTTCGTACGAACAGCTTCGCGATTTGCTTGAGATGGTGGCAAAAGAACAACCGCACGTACTGATTCTGGTATGGTAATTACTCATGACTATGTCTCACTCTCATAGTTGCATGGAGTAACATTGCTTCACAATTTATCGCCTTAAATGTTTTTTGCAGGCGCGACTGCCGAGATCCAGATTTTTGCTAGATGGAGACATTCTCTTCTGGCTCAGCCTCTTTCTTTTTCTTTTTTCATTTGGTAATTCAAGTGACTTCCTACCCTTTTTCCACCAGTTTCCGGACTTTTCCAAAAATTTTCTGCTTCCTCCAGGATTTTGCTGTCGAGCGGGAGGACAGGGGGGGGGGGAATAATGACAATTCCAAACCCATTCGTTCTTATTCATAACACACAATGACGATATGATTGATGAGGTTAGGCGGCTCGGTCAGAGAAGCGAAAGCCTTTTCAGATCACCTCGTACGTTGGGGAATCCCCAAGGGGAGGAGTCGTACTTGTTGGGAGGTGGGAAGTTGGGGGGGATGGGCGTCGCTAAGGTTCTGTACAATTACTATTTCTGATAGTTGGAAATAGTAGTTGGTTGTTCAAGACCCCTCCTCCCGCTCGTCAGCAAAATGTTTGGGAAAACACTGAATAGAAAGGGAAGGAGCCAGGAAAATCTAGGAAAGGGGTAGGTAGTATGGGGAAGGAGTGTCGTAAGAGAGGAGGGAATTAGGGGGTTGCCGTAACTTCCGAAAATTTTTCCCAGTAGCAGGTATGCTTTGATTCCTACCTTGCGTATCGACAAACTGAAAAGTTGCGCAGATAGTTCGATTTACATTCCTCTTTGCGAATTTTTTTACGTTTGTCAGTTTTTCCTTTTGCAAGGAATGAACGCATCCTTACACTTGCTCTGGAATGTATGACTCCTCCGCCTATGAGAATGAACCTGGCGTGTAAAAAAAATGAGCTTTAAGCTGGTTCCACAGCCGAATTAGGAGGAAGAAAGTAAATGTGTTGAAAAAGAAACACTCCAAAACATAGATGCTTCGTTTCGCTCCTTCATTAGGCCAACCTTTACCATTTTGCAAACCCGGGCGTACTGTACCGTGCAAG